AGCGGACCAGCAACTCGGCAACCATGGAGCGAAGCACAAGGCACCCGCAACAGGGCAACCAACCAACAAGGCCCGCAAGCAGCAAACACGCAAGGCACGGCCAGCGGAAGGGCAGCAAGGCAGCGAAGCAGCGAAGCGCAAGGCAACACCAACAACACGGCCACACCGCACAACGAACACGTCAACCTACAAAGAGCCGCATGTGAATCAAGCGGGACAGGCAGCAGGGCAGCGACAGAGTGCAGACGAGGACGTCCACACATCCAACACGAAGCAAAGCAGCACCAGTCTACTCACATCACGGTTGAACCCAGCAGACTGCTGGTTCTCACCACCCACCGAGCCAGGGAGTCACTCCGACGAGCATCCGTCATCACCCATAGGCAACACAGACATCCCGAGCCGAGCGGCCCCCCTAAGAGTGCAGTTGGCACTCCAAACGAGGAACCACCGACTGTTTGGCACTACTTAAGGGTGCTCGGTTGGGCACACAAAGAAAATACTTGGAAAAAATCAGAGGGAGGACAGACAACAGGAAAAAGACTGACAAACATAAAACTGATTGTGCGTGTGTGTGTACGTGTGTGTGTGTGTGTGTGTGTGTGTGTGTGTGTGTGTGTGTGTGTGTGTGTGTGTGCCCATAAGGATCAGATGGACACCGCACACATACACAAACAGACACGCACATCTCCAAAATGATCTCATCCTTGCCCTCGCATTCATGAAGCCCATCAGTCTCTCCGTGCTCCCACGAGTCATCTGCAGTCCCCCACGTATCTCCCCTACATATCCACCCAACGTGGCTTTTACTGTTCCCGAAGCCCAATGCTCCTTTCCGTACTCCCACAAATCATTTGCAGGCCCCCACGTATCCCCTACATCACCACCCCAGATGGCTTTAAAAACTCTCTAAGGTACGGCTGGTGGGACACACCACCAACAGCGCTATGGGGAGGATCCCTCCACCGGTATATGTGTAAGTGTGTAACCCGCATAATAAGACATGATCACAGTATGATACGGAAACCGCATCATACTCAAGCTCCGAAATAATATATCGGCGCACCTTAAGAATGTAAGTGTGTAACCCGCATAATAAGACATGATTACAGTATGATACGGAAACCGCATCATACTCAAGTTCCGAAATAATCTATCGGCGCACCTTAAGAATGAAAACTTGTAGGCGTGGTGCAGACACATCCGGTACTTGGAGGTGGGGAATGACTATGCCGGACTACACGAGCAAGCTCAGGCACAAGAACTTGTAGGCGTGGTGCAGACAGAACGAACTGGAACACACATATCCAAACAAACACCACAAGACGGGGAAAGGAAGCACAATAAGGCAAAAGGCAAGGAGGCAACGACAACAAACTGCAGAAAGGCACAAGGACGGGGGGCCACGGGGGAGGTGGGAGGGTAGACCATATATAACTGCACACAACAAGGAAAGACAAAAGAAAAGTGCAAGTACACAAAGATACCCCAACCATAAGACATCAGGCAACATCAAAGGACAATGGGTGGAAGGCATTGGGGAGGCTGGAGGGCAGACGTCACTCAAACACAGAAAGCAGGCAAAGCAAAAAAAATACAAGTCCCTAAAAACAGCGAAGACCAAAAAAAATAAAAACAAAAATTAAAAACCGATGGTGATAAGATTGTTTCGTCGGAGTTGCACCGACTCATCATGAGGCTGAACCCTCAACAATCTGCGGAATCCTTGTATTTGATGGTTTGGGTCATGAACCCTTTGACCCTTGTTGAAGGCAGACTGTCCCCAAGCAGAACATAGCAGCGGGCAGCAACCCTGCGGAGCACCAGGCAGCACAGTAGAGGCAACACGGTTGCACAACGCCAAAAACGACTGCAACGAACGACACGGCACGCCGAACTCCCAGCAGGGCACCCAAGCAGTGAAGCACCAGGCAACAGTACCAAGACAACCACAGTGCAAGGGACGAGAGGGCAAGCGAACCAGCAACAGAGCATCCATGCTGAGGGGCACAAGGCAAACCCAACACGGCAACCAAACTACAGGGCACTTAAGCAAAGGACACAGAGGCACGACCAGCGGGCGGGCGGCAAGGCAGCGAAGCAGCGAAGCGCAAGGCAACACCACAACCCGGCCACACCACACAGCGAAGACAGCAACATGCCAAGAACGACCTGCGAGGCAAGCGGAACGAGCAGTAAGGCAGTGGTAGAGCGCAGACGGGATCGTCCACACATCCAACACGGAGCAAAGTAGCACATCACCTACTCACATCACGGGTGAACCCCACAGACTGTTGGTTCCCACCACCCACTGAGCCAGAGAAACACTCCGCCGAGCATCCGTCATCACCTACAGGCAACACAGACATCTCGAACCGAGCGGCCACCCTAAGAGTGCAGTTGGCACTCCAAACGAGGAACCACCGACTGTTTGGCACTACTTAAGGGTGTTCGGTTGGGCACACAAAGAAAATACTTAGAAAAAATCAGAGGGAGGACAGACAGCAAGAAAAAAACTAACAAACATAAAACTGATTGTGTGTGTGTGTGTGTGTGTGTGTGTGTGTGTGTGTGTGTGTGTGTGTGTGTGTGTGTGTGTGTGCTCTTGGGGGGGAGGCGACTCCCCCCCACCTCATATCAATCAATCAATCAATTCAATCAATCAATCAACCAATCAATCAATCAATCAATCAATCAACCAATCACTCAATCAATCAATCAATCAATCAATCATTCAATCAATCAATCAATCAATCAATCAACTAATTAATCAACCAATTAATCAATCAATCAAGTTTT